CATCATTTCTGCAGAATGCTTGAGTGGCCTCAAATAACATACTGAACTGTCAGGCACAAACCCAAGTGATGGCGTGAGCCAGCAGTGAAATAATGAGAAGCTGATCTACAGCTTTCCCCCTCTGGTTTATTAAATGAATGCTCCACATACCACTTCCCACTGACTGGAGACAGAGAGAAAATCCCAGGACAGTAACTCATCATCCTTTCTTCCCCTGAGAAGATTCAAGGCTGTGGCTATGTATGGATGTTGTGAAGTGATAAAGTTGCTGCGGCTTCACGAGTTACCACGCATCAGCTGAGCCGTGCCGTCTGACCGCGCGCGCTCCCGGCTCCCTGCAACTGGGTGGTAAAACATGTTCGCTCACGATGGGGCTGGAGCAGGTACACCGTCAGCGGGCTCCAGATAAGCACGCTCTGCTGATAAGCAGTGCCTCATTAAGCCCCAGGACTCAACGGCTTGCAACGCAATCCTTGGCCTAAAAGTCCCTCCTCTTTTCAAGTTGCAGCCCTTGGTCATGGAACTGGCAAAGGGAAACAGCTCTGGGAGAGTGGTCAATATTGAATTAATTCCTGCACATAGCACAGAGAGGAAGGAGGGTTGGGGACCACGCCAAAGAGGAGAAATAGTAGAAGGACCGGCCAACTGCATTGCTGAATACAACCTTGGTGTAGCCACGCCTGGACAAGGATAGTGCAGATGACACATAGAGATGACCCAGGCAATGAAAGCTGACTCCACTAAGCAGGACCTCTTTGGCTTCATACCTCAAAAAAGGGACATTTTGGGAGGTTTCTGCCTCTTGCAACCACCCAGAAGCTGGGTGTCATCTTGCCTGAATCTTGGTTTAGCCTCAAGCCCCAGTCTGAGGCTCAGAAAATCTGGTTACAGACCCAGTTCTCTGGATCCTCCTTGAGCTCTGTCTCCAGCCTCTGGGGGTCCTTCCCAGCCAGCACTCCTCAGAGCCACCCCATCTCCCACCCCACAACCAACCTCCATGCTGAGCCAGACACACGGGACCAATGCATGGAACACACCGGCACTCCCTGCTGCCCATGGAGATGGAAATCCATGTCATCTAAGTCTTTTCTGCTCAACATTCACAGCTGCAAAAACAACAGGCAAACTCCTGACCTCCTAAAACTAAACATCAGGCACCTACTCCCTCTCTCCTCTGGTCCACCCAGATCTTCTCAGGGTGGCAGCTGCACCCATTTAGGACGGGTTCTCCTTATCAAGACATTGCCCTTACATTTTGAGACTCAAGGGGATGTTCTTTGGGGCAAATCTATTTTTCAGTCATCTTCTGAAGTCAGGCAGGTCCCTCTGTGGCCTCCCAGCAGGAGGTCGGGACAGTGTGCCCATCTCCAGCTGTACTCACTGGGAACATGGGTCGGGGGGCGAGAGCAGCCTTCTCTCTGATGGGGCCACCCCGGGGTGAGGCATCCGATGACAGTTTGACTGGTGGAGCAAAGAGCGACTCCTGTTTGTTTGGATAGTCAAAGGACTTGGGATGCATGTCTCCTGTTCATGTTGGTTTAGATAAAAGGACCCCAGCCCTGTCACAGGATCAACTGGGTTGGTGAGAAACCACTCACATAGACTCCCTTTGCCCTTGGACCCTTTTAAAACAGAAGAAAACATTTAAATAATAATAGTAATAATAATGGCAGTTGTAGTAATAATAACAGGAGAAAGTTTTCACAGCTCAGAGACACTCCCTCCTTTCGGGCCCTGGGTGTGTTGGGGTGCCAAGAGCAAGGTCAGGGATTGGGGCTGCAAGTTTGGGGTCACCTGCAGTCTGGGTGACCGAAAGCTTGGGAAATTTTGCTGCTTGGTGCCTTGTGTTCTGTCTTCCCATCCTGACCTGGCTGACAAGCCCTGCCCTTGCAGACCCGATGCCTGGCTGGGAGGGAAGAGCTGGCTGGATGTGGCTGTCCCTGGAGTGGGGGACCAGGGGGGGACAGGGACTGCTGCATCCGCATCCATCTGGCATACTGAAGCAGCGAATGAAGGAAAAGGAAGGAGGGGGTGGGTAGAAGAGAAAATCCCAAAGATCCTCGGATAATAAGCACCATTAAGGTTAGTCTGTCTCATGATTGTTTCTTATTAAAAAGAGACTGTACTTTATCTGTGCAGGATATGCTGTTTGGATGAGGGAATTAGCAGAGTGACTGCCTCCATATCATCTAATTAGCAAAAATGTTGATAAGCAGATACAATCACATATGATTAGGATCCTTTTAAAAAGCCACTCCATTAATTAAATAGACAGAAAGGCCGCCTCCAGCCCTCGCGTGCCACTGATTAGAATACAAATATTTACACTAATCTCACCTCCATCAGCCATGGGACACTTTTGAGTATTTTTAGTGACATCAGATTACTATTGATTTTCATCCCCAATGTCAGACCATTTTGTTAGTATCTGAAAGTGCTGCCTTCAGTTTCGGATGCTTTAAATCATGTTAAGGGTTTATCTTAATGACGCTGCTGATAACCACTGTTCAGGTCACTCGTACTTTCTCTTCAAAGAACACAGTCTGGGCTGGTTTTTATTGTTTGTACTTGAGATTTAAGATACGAAAAACATTTCTCATTTCAAAGCCTTGGTTTCTAGGGATGGGGTTGCCAGGCTAGTTTGGGTCTAGTTACTTGATGTGTGCACATCTCGCTCATTTCCCTTTCTCCCTGCCTCTCCTCGACCCTTTCTTTTTTCCTTGCAAACCCTTTTGGCTCACAGCAGTGGCCTCTCTTGAATGGCTGCTAATCTCTGACGCCTGCTGCAGGCAGCAGACAGACAGGCAGTGAGCATCCTCCGTTTGGGGATGACAGGAGAAAAACACTCCCTACTTTTCAGATGGGTAGGACGCACTAAATCCAAGACAGATAATCCACTGCGCCAGCCAGTCTGAGACAGGCACTCATCATCAAAAGCACGTGTGGGAGGAGATGCTTTGCAAAGAAACAGCACAGGGCAAAGTCACCTCCTTCCTTCCATGCACAACCCCGCTCCCTGCGGTAAATAACTGGCCTGGGACCCTCCAAGAGACTTCTCTGATGTCCCATTTTCCCTTCTGGAAAACAGAAAGCAAGAACGGCAACTGCTCTTGAAATTTCTGCCAAGCATCTGCAAATGGACCATGCTGGCAGTGGCTAGGAGCTGTTGGCATCTTTTGGTGGCTTGTGGGTGATCCTCAAGTCCTATACACAATCATAAAAAAACACTAGCCCAAATAAACAAGTCCCCTTGGTAAAGATTTCAACCAAAGGACCACAGTGTGAGCAAGCCATGAAGCCTTAGCTCTCCCCTCAGCATGGAAGTGTAAAGAGCCCTCTGAGTGTAGATGAACTTTTGCCGTCGCTACAGTAGAAAGAACACCTAGCAGAAAAATAATTCACATTGCACAAATGCCCTGTAGTTAAAAAGACCTCCTCTGTGCAAAAGGAGGCAAAAGCCAAGATCTTCCCAAGGACGTGAGCCTGTGGCACCATAAGCTCCTTTGTTGCTTTGTGTTTTCTTTAGCTCCAGCCTTCAGACCAGCACTGCTCTGCCTTAGGGCAACTTTTACTGCCAGAATATGACAAGTACCTCCATGCCGACCCATCACTGACCAGCGAGAAACTGACAAAACAAAGTCTTTTTCTCAACAGGCATCAGCTCAATCGCCTTCTTCCTTCCACTGACACATTGCTTTCTACAGGCTGGCAAGGCTGCCCGTTGGCTTCATGGCCCCACACGTATGATGTGTGTTAGGACAGCAGCCAGCTCATACACTGTGCCTACGCTCTTTGGTCTGGCCAGCTCTTGACTCCTTTCCAAAGTGTGGGATAATGGAAAGGAGGGCAGTGATCTTCAACACATGCTGCCATTAGTAGGTGTCTACGACAGCGCATTACAGACAGATGAGTTCTCATTGTTGGCACTTCCTTGGAGACCTCCCTCATGAAACGATTTTCCCCGTGAGGATATTGCATTTCCCATAGGAATGGCAAATCTGGGGAACAGAAACAGATGCAGGATAACCCCAGACTAGATCATCTAAATTCAGCTCCTTAGGCTGAACTCATCTGTGTTGGGATCACTGGACAACCCTGTTGTACATGCATGCACCTTGGGACAGATAGCCAAAAAAGCACATAAAAAAGAGGCTAAGGTTGTTAATGAGATTCATCCTGGGCATTTATTTTAGTATCAACATGAGAGCTAAGCTCTTCTAGAAGTGTTAGGTTTAGCTATAAATTCAGAAGAGATCATGACGGTCATCTAATCATGTTTTAGGAAAAGGGTCCACTCTGGGTTTAAAAATGGCCACGTGAGGAGGTTCCAATGACTCATTACCTTAATAATTAAGGATGTGCAACGTATTTTGAGTTTAAATTTGGCTAATACCAACTTCCAATTTCTTTGCCCGGGAGCCTGGAGGTCCCTGTGCCATTGAGTTTCTGTTCCCTCTGCAGGTTCTTACAGATTATGATGAAGCTGGCATTGAATCTCCTCATAATACCAAGACGTTTTCCCTGAGTATCTCACTCCAGAGCATATTTTCCAAACCCTTAATCACATTTTATGGCTCTTCCCTAGGCCTTCTACAATTTATTGACACTCTTCCTAAACTGCGGCTACCCAAACTGCAAACAGCTTTCCTAGAGCTGCTGCTATAGGGTTGTATGCCCCACAGGGGTAATATGACCTCATTACACCACACTTCCCTGGGCTGCACATGAAACCACACCAAATATCTGAGAATCCCACCTTTTGGCAGGTACAGGCAAAAAATAATCTGACAAAGTCATACATGACAGCTGAGAGGGCAACTACAACGTCACATGTATGATCTATGTTTAAAAACATAGGCCAGTGACAACCACCTCCACCCTAGGTTGAAGTCAGGTCAACTGAGCAATGATTGGCTGAGCCCCCTCTGAGGTCACAATCTCATGATTTGTGAACAACAGAAAGAACATGGTCAAGCAGCACTGCGTGGCCTCACGTTGCTGAAGGACAGAGCAGATCAAGGGATGAACTGAGCATCTACTCACCTCCTGAGGAGCGCAGCAGCAGAATTAGGTGTCCAGGAGAATTTGCATGCTGGTCATCCCTGGGCTTCACACCCTTGGTGGGAGAGGGGTGTCAGGCATCTTCCAAGCAGCCCCACCTTTCCTTTGAGATGGTGGATTATTACAAAGTCCTTGGATTGCAAAGAAGTGCCTCACAGGATGATGTTAAGAAATCCTACCACAAACTGGCACTAAAATGGCATCCTGATAAGAATCCCAGCAACAAGGAGGAAGCTGAAAAGAAATTCAAAGCAGTCGCTGAGGCATACGAGGTTTTGTCTGACCCCGAGAAACGATTACACTATGACATGTCTGTTAAGGAGACCAGATCCGACAGAGGAAGAAGAGCCACAGGGGGTCATGACAACTTCTTTGATTCCCCTTATGCTTTCAGTGACCTTAGGGAGATCTTTGAGGAAGTCTCTGAAGTGCCAGATCCCTTTCTATATGATTTCTGGGACCCCTGCAAATCTGGTAAAAACTGGTACGAAACAAGTGGAAGAACCTCCGACGTGTTTGCTGACTTTATGGAGTCATTTGTGACTTTATTCAGCCCCAGCAAGCAGTCCACCTCTTTGTTTGCTGAGGGCAGAACTGGGCCACGCGGTGTCAGGTCAGAGTTAACTACTACTGAAGTGGTCAACGGCAAGATCATCACCACCAAGAAAATCATCGAGAACGGGCAGGAGAGAACAGAAGTGAGAGAAAACGGCAAGCTGAAGTCTGTGTCAGTAAATGGGAGAGATGTCCTGAACTCATAATGTCCCCCAGCACCAAGCATCAACTGCAAGCTCTGTGCCATGCTCTCATTGCTCAATGAATAGGGTCTGCTACAAGCAGTATTAATAAATGCTGAGTTCATCACACAATTGATGCAGATTTCTCAATGGTTGGAAACAAATATTTTACAGGTAAAGATATGGAGTTACACTAAATTAAGGAATGGGACTCTACTAACTCTGTGCAAGGTGATAGATAGCAGTTGTTTAGTAAATATGCATAGTAGATACATGTGACAGCAACCTCTCTGGTTTTCCAAAGAGACCAAGTTAGTATCGCAGGAGAAGACAGGTTGGTTGATGAACAGGTAAGAGACCTCTATGACATGCTATATATCCTATTCCCACTCCTTGAAATGCCTGTTGTGAAGTCTACTAGCTGGAGGAATAAAGACTTTTGTGACCCTCACACACAACGCTGAGGGTAAGTGAAGAATATCTTTCCTTAGGTGGATGAGAAGATACATATTAATTGAAAAAAGTTTTTGTACATAAGCAAGAAGGTGGGGGATATTCAGTGGGTCATGCAGAGCCTAGAGGTGAGGGACTGTCATAAGAAAAAAATGAAAGAAGAAAACGTCATTCCTTAGACTGCTGAAGAAAATGGTGTCTTTCTTGAAAACACCCTGCAAATTATGACCAGAGACCCTGATGGAAGCACTGTGTAGCTTGGGGGCCGCAAGTGAGATGGGAGAAGGTAAATTTGGCTCTCAGACTGAGACAACCTATGGTCTCTTTCTGCTCAGAGTCATTCAAACAAAAAGAGCTAAATTCAAACCATGAGCAAACAGAATCCAGGGGGCTGAGTTTAGCTCCCTCTTTGTGCAAATCTGGATGCGGGGACTTAGATGGTACTTTACCACCCTTATTGTCTTGCTCACAGCTGCAAGAGCCAGTTCACAATGCATTTCTTGCACAGCCTGCCAGCATGCTGCTTTCGTCCTCCACTAAGCTGAGGAACGCGCTCCCCATGTTTCTGCCCTCCCCTGTGCTGTCATGAACCGCTGAGCCTTGTTTCTTGCTTGGCCAGATCACCTTAGGCGTTTAAAATCCTACACGCCTCTTATTTTCGGTCCCACGCTACGTCCCCTTGAGTTTCCCAGCTTGCCCTGCCCACTGATGTCTCCCTGGAGACTGGAATTCGCTTTCAGGGACATTTTCACTCTAATCCAGATTGCAATTGCTGCCTGTGTTTGGGCAGGTCTTTGCATCTGTTTCCTCTGCTGTAAAATGGGAATAACAGACTCCCATGCTTTGAAGGAGACTGTGAGGTAGTGATACTCATAAAGTGATACTCCAAACACTAAGCACTAAGTTCAGTTAGCCACCCCTTAATCAAAACCTTTTACTTTTGAAAAGAAAAATGTAGTTTAAATCACCTTCCTTAGCAAGTAATGCCACGTCCAGCTTGGAAAAACAGACCAAAACTGTATTTATTATGTTAAGACCTGTTAAGTCCCTGTGAATCCCTCTCCCAGCAAGAAAAAGACACAGCACTGGGAAGCAAGTAGAGGTCTAAGTGAATGCTGGGTCTGCAGAGGGAGGCTAGCAGTAATAATGGCAACAGCAACTATCTCACTGCAGGGACAAGCCATGTCTGCTGCTCCTCTACAGTTCCTGCAGAGATTGGGACTCTGGGGATTGCACAGATTTAGGCGATTTGGAGCAGAAAGAAGACTATTTTGGTCAGAGCCAACACAAGTAAATATTTCTACCAATACTCTCTCTGAGGACACCATGATCATGTGAGATGATCTCTTGAATTTACCTTGCTCTACTTTGGAGGAAGTTCAAGATAAAAAAAAAAAAAAACTGACCATCAAAAAAAACAAACTGCACATTTTGGATCGGAAACTGAAATGGTCTTTGATCAAAATAACATGCTTTGAAATCTGGACCAGAGTTGAATTCCCAGCTCCTCAACTTTTCCAACTTGCTAGGACTAAAACTTTGCTTCAGCTTCATCGCTAATGGGGTATTTTTATGCATGTCCATCAAGGCTTCTTGATCTGTGATCAAGACACACAGATTTACACACATCTTACATCTGTCCTGCTTTAGGTTACCAATTCCTGCTCTGGTACCAGTATCAAAGAGCGAGCACTTCCTTTTCCCATCCCTTGGTCAGTGTTTCGATTATTTGGCAGCTCCACGTACCAATACCTGCTGTTAGGAGTATGGGAACACAGGTCTGGAAGGGACCCAGCTCACCCAGTAGGTGTTGACTCCAAGGAGGACCTGCAGATCCTCTTCCAACTCTCTCCGTGCACCTCAGGCCACAAAACATCTTGCAGCACTTCCTGCAAACAAAAGATCTGAGATTAAAAAAAAAATATGGACAACCATAAAAGTCTGGTGGTAAGAGAGTGGGTCAGACTGTGTTAGCAAAGTCCTGCATTCCTGCAATACAAATCTGCCAGGTGTGCCCAAAACGCCCACGGAAATGGGTTGCTTGTGTTACAGAGAAAGATAAATGACCCCCAGCAAACCTGGCCAACATGGCCTTGGAAGAAAACCCTGGCCTGTCCCATGACATGGGATCACACCAACACTGACACCTTCAAGAACTTTTTTAAAAGCTTTTTCTCATGCCAGTTAGCAGCTGCAGCGCTGGAGGAGGCAGCACCAGATGTCCAGCCACAGCACAACCCGGGAGCCTTTGCCTCGCCCAGTTCCAGCTCTCTGTTCCTCTTCCAGAAGCGCATCTTCCCTCCAAAAAGCTGTGTTTTGGGACCCTGCCCAGTCAGTGGTGTGTCTTTCAGGTGTGTTCATGGCTGATGGCGCTGGCATGTGAGGCCAAATCCACCTCCGAGGACCAGAGGTACCATCAGCAGAGCCTGTTGCTCGGCTGCTGATGGAAACCAGCCCCTCATCCTTCCAGCCACCGCCGGACACGATGGGCTCATTTCCAGCACCAGCTCTGCGTGAACACATCGGGCTGGGGGGTGGTTTGGAGCCTCCCCTTTGACTGCAGCACCGGACCCCCTGTGCCTGGCCGGTGGCACCGGGAAGAGCAGGGAGCGAGGGCGGCTGGAGCAGCGCAGCCGATGCCGGCCGGCAGCCTGCGCGGAGAGGCTGAGTCATTATTTTATTAGCAGGCCCCACAACTACTTTAATGTGGGCTTAGGCTGCAAAAACAAAAACATACATAAAAGCATTTGGAATTACTTCATAAAATACTAAATCACAATATTAACCGACTGACCTTTGCTCCATGCAGACCTGCTAATTTTAGCAATTACAGCCAACAACTTGAACATATCAAGTGGGCAACTGTTTAACAATAATGACATCTGCTTGGAAAATCCAATTATGTCTAAACATCTTTAAATCCCCACTAGGGGATACCTGCTTTCTTTTTGCAACTGTTAGGCTCTGCCTAATAGGATTTTAAACTCGCAGCCTGCTGCACGCTGTGGTGGCAGTGGCCCCTCTCCCTGGAGTGGCAACAACAGGACTGCCGTCCCATTAAGCAGGGAGTGAGAGTCTCTCCTTGGACAGTGATGGAAGCGGTTTGGTTTTTTGACAGCCTAATCTGATAGACGGGTGCATTAGCTGGATCCCTTCACTCCCCTGCCCCCCCTGCAGATACTGCTCCCCTCCACAGCCCCCCAAGGTTGGGGGACACAGCCAGAACTGATCTCTGAAGGCTGTTTCTCGGGAAGGACCTTGTTACCAAGATGGTCTTTGCAGCCATCGGTGCCTTTTGTGGGACAACTGACATGATATTTTCTCCTGCAATGTCCTCAGACACAAACTAGTTTTGTTTTCTGGGTTGACCTCTATTTCGTTCCTCTTTTTTCTCCCTTCCTTTGTCCTCCACCCCCAGCTACCTAAATCTTGGAAAGCTGCTCCTTGTTTTGTGGGTGGAACTTCAACATTGAGATCTGTTCCTTTCTATAACTGAAAGACAACAGCTATGCAATGGCTTTTGCAGCCATATTTCAGGCCTGTAGGTTTTTCTTGCCAAGAAAAGTGACGTTAGAAGTAAATGGGACCAGTGAGGAAGAGTGAGTACAACAAGACCACCCAACTCTCCAATTAAGCACCCCAATGCAGACCAGGATCCTCCACTGTAAAAATCAAAGGTCCTTATTCTGCCCTCGGTTAGGTTGCTGCAGACCCTTGAGCTGCACTGATCTGGCAGCAGTCTACACTCCATGGTCCCACTCCCGATCACTCAGCACCCTGGGCTGCGAGGCTATTGTCAGATATTTGAATTGAGATACAAGAACAGAATATTTCCGTCCCTTCTCCTCCCTCCCTCTCCCTCCCCGGCCAGCCTGGCTCTCTTCTGATGGAGCGTGCAGCAAAATCACAATCACATGTTTGCAGCAGTAGGAGGCCATTGGCATGGAAGTGGCTGTGATGTCACTACAAACATTTCCACCCTATCCCATTTCTCCAGAACAGTCTCCGTTTTTATGACCCCATCCTGAGATCTGCAGGAAATCAAATTGTCCTGATTCTATTTCGAGCGCTGGTGTCATGGCATCAATATATAACGATGTGGTGTCAAGCCGGAGAGGCTCGAGAGCTCTGCCGTGGTGTCACAGCCGGTTTGTTTTGTGCAGCTCCATGGACTGGATCGCAGCCCTGCGGATGCCACGCTTGCCGTGCTGGGACCGCTGGGGACACGTGTGCTGTGCTAATGGGATGAGCTGCGGGGGCAGGACACGGGGCAGGTCTGGCTTTTGTCCATGGGCAGCTCCCACACCCTGTTAGAGGTGACCAGCTCGGGCACGACGGTACCAGAGGGCAGAGCAAATGCACAGGCACGACATCTGGGCTCCTACAGGAAAGCGCGTTGGGTGCCAACTAACCCCTGGGGGATACATGGGAGGGAAGAGAAGACCACGGTCTCAAGGCGCTTGTGCAGGGCAAGGGGAGATGCAGGCAAGGGAGAGAGAGATTTGGGGACAGACAGACACTGGCAAGGTGCCTGGAGTAAGAAACCAAGTGGAAATCTGACCAAAACAGGGAGAAGCAGCACCCAGCGGATACAAATCCTTGTCTAAACTAGGATTACCATCTGAACAGAATGCACCATGGGTT